AGTTATTTGAAAATAAACTTCCTAATTTTCTGGTTCAAAAGATTTTTATTTCTATTTATTAATGGTTTTCAAGTTGATTCATTTGATGTTAAATAAGTTTCAAATCAGATCAATATAAAGTTGATAAAAATCACTTATTAGATGACATGCCTAACTCTAGAGAAGAAAAAAAAGCAAGGTACATTATCCATGCTAACACATGCAAATACTTAAAACATTTTAAGTATAAGGTTTCTTAAATAGGATCACACACAAAATAAAACCTTCCAAGCAAAAAAAAAAAAACTCACCAAGAGAAGAAATATGTCAGCTAACTCAAAGATCTGGAATCTGTAGATGTCTTTCACCAGAAAGTGTTTTTTTTTTTTTTTACAGATAAATACTTGTTCTGGTATTGATTGGTTGATGGATCTATCTATATCTCTCTCACACTCACACGGTTGGACCAAAATTATACTTTTGGAAATTCCACAATAAGTTAAAACAAATTTATTTCAGGTCTGTACAAGTTTTGTATGGCTTGAACATTAATTTTGAAAATAAGTTATTTCATGGACACTTAAAGGGTACTATAATCTATATTACTATTTGACACTATCATCTTTAGAACAAACTACTAATTCAGCACTAAAAGAAGTGCCACTCTGGTTAGGGGAGGGAAAATAAGGTAATCTAAATATGCTGGTTAGGGGAGGGAATATAAGGTAATCTAAATATGGAAAAAATGTACTACTGTTGTAGCATAAGCTTTATCTTTCTGAATAGGATACAGAAACAGACATTAATATTTTAAATTTGCTTCCATCAAGATGTAAAATGCTAAGATTTGAAAGGAAATATCAATTTTTTGAAGAAAAATAAACCTATTAGTATTAGTATTTTTTCCTGTCTAATCTTTATTAAAAACTGAAATTTGAAATTCAGATTTTTTTTCTTGACCAAAGAACTCTGCACAATATGTGGAATCATCAAAATTTGGACTTAACATTTTATAAATTTTAGTTATGGTGTGTTTAAAACAAAATTCATTCTATTATTACTTAAAAAATTTGGAACAGTTATAGGTTTGTCATTGTAAAAGGTAATTTTTTTTAACCCATGTAGTTGTTAAAAGTCAAAAATTTGTTTGCATTGTTATAGTACTAGAAAAAGTATGAATCTTTAACAAATATGACGTTTTGTCAGTAATTCTAGATTAAGGTTCAGAGATTTTCAGCTTAAAATAGTATAAATTGAAATTTCAGAAAAAAGAAACTGAATTATGAAATAAAAAAGAAAAAACTAAATTAAACTGCTTGTTTGATTACTTCTTTAAAAAAAATTTTTCCCCTCCTGCAAAAACCCTTGTCAAATATTCCAACTTTTGACCTGAATGCAGTTTTAGTGTTTGTTAATTGTTCAAAGTCAAGAGACATCAGATAACAAAAAGCAATGATAAAAAACAAAAGATGCCATCATCAAAATTGAACAAAAATGCAAGAAGAAAAGTGGGGGACATTAAAAAAAAAACATCCTGTACTATAATTGTAGCTTTTTCTACATTTTTTTTTTTTTACATTTCTATTTTATATACAAATATTTGTTATTGAATATACATCTGTAATTTAAACAAATATGATTCATACTTGCATGTATTTGCATCTGTGTGTGAATGTGTGAAGCTCAAGTCACAGAATGAGAGAAAAAGATCTTTTGATAACCCCTAAGGAAGCAAAGTATGAACTGTATAAAAAAATCTTGAGATAGCAAACAAAATATTATTATTGAAAGAACACCATCTAAATTTTCAGAATTTAAAATGATGAAAACATTTTATTTTTATAAATTTGATTGTTTCACTTTGTATTTCCTTCATGAATCCCATGAGGTGTTTTTTTTTTTTTTTTTTTTTATAATCACTTGATTAAAATCTAAGATTGCGCAAAAGAAATTTGAAAGTAGTTCAGACAACCAAGATCTAAACTCTTCATAATTAAAAAAGTTTGATTTTATTTCTATACTTATGGTCATAATAACAGGATTTCATTTTTAAAATTTAAAAAATGTCTATGATTTCAAAAAAAAAAAAAAAAAAAGCTTTATGCAGTAAAAAGTTTATTTAAAAAAAAAAAAAAAAAAAAAAAAAATAAACAAAACATTTATTGGTGAGGTTAAGATTAGTAAGCCGAATATGGCAAGTGACAAATACAATAAAAGAATTGTCACATCTCATATCAAGTCAGTTATTTACAATATTTTCCAATAAGGCCAGGTGTTAAAAAAACAAAAAAAAAAAACAGATTTACTTCCCTTGTTTTTTTTTTCCTTTTTTTTCTGTTTGGCTTTTAATAAAGCATTTCAGCCATTTTTGCATTTATGTTGCTAAAACGTTTGTTGTATTTTTATCATTAGCCTCCCGTTCTCGGTACAGGAAGAAGAGATAAAAAAAAAAAATGAGCAGGCATCAATTATGCTGGATTGTCATGAGGAAAATTCATAAAAAAAAAAAAAAAATAAAAAATAAAATAAATTAAATTTTATTTAGAATTCTTGAGATCAAGCCCAAATGAGGCATTTTCTAAAGCCAGTCACTTCATGAAAAAGAAAAAGTTCATATTAAAGTGGAAAATCTAAAATTTTCTGATTGTTGAAACTCATTCGTATTTTCTCTGGGACTAACCAAAATATTTTTTCTACTTGTAGGACTAGGTTTTATCTTGTACTAAACAATTAATGGTTACATTAAAGAGAAGTAGCCTTTTCACAAACCAAGTGATTTTTTTTTGCCTTATTAAGATTTGCCTGTTTTTCCCCACTCTATAGATTCTGAAAACCATTTTTGGAGTATTCTGGAAACAGGAGAAATCTTTCATTAAAAAGAAAAAGTTCTTGAATAATGACTGTGTCCACATATCCTTCTTAAGTCCCACACAGAATTGATTGGATAGCAGCACAAAATGTCAAAGAGAAAATATCACTGATCTACACAGCGAACAGATTTCAATCACAAAGCACTGCCAAATAATTTGAAACCAGCGACTTTAATAACAAAAAAGTGTGTGGCTCGTAATATTAACAAAACTTTTGAAAGTTTCTTGGTATTTTTTTTTTCATCCAAAACCACCCAAGTTAGGGTAGATTAAAAGTTGGATTTGGTACTTGTCTTTGTATGAAAACTTTTGTAGTTGTACTTATTTTAATAAAATTGGTCTCAATTAGCACAACAGTAGTTTAGCAGATATAGAAGAGATATACAGAATTTTGCTACTGGTTGATAAGTGTTCCTTTTCAAATGTGAACAATGGCAGTAGAAATAGTTCTATCAAGTATTGGTGATTAAAAAATGTTTCACTCAGCATTTCAGCACACAAAAACAAGTTTATTAAAAATTAATAAAAATTTATCGGAATGAATTGAAACTTGCCAAATCTCTTCCCTTGGTCTTTGCAATCAAATATTTTTTAAATATAAATTTGATATGACCGAATGGGTTAGAGAAAAGTGCTAGGATATTTATGAAATGATTTTGTCATTTCCTCATATTTCACTGTTGAATTTCAAATATTGTCCTTTCTTTACTTGTGGGATTCTTCTGAAGATTCCAATAAAATATCCACCAAGTTGAAACTTTTCTTGAAAATTTGTACCTTTGGTTAGATTTGTTTATATTTTCTATAAAAATTAAAGTCCTTTTTTAAAAATTTGTTTGTGAGTTCTTTCACAAGCCAAGTAGACAAGGTTTTCATGAAAAAAAAAAAAAAAAAAAAAAAACACGCACACACATTTGTTTTCCTATGTGTCCAGTTACAAAAACAGGAATGCTGGTTTCTTCGAGGGCGACCGCACAGTGAATTGCTTTAAACACAGATAATTGGTATTCATTTTTGATTCATCAAAGCTGGAGTGGGTTTGATTTGAATCAAGTGGAGTCACTTGGCCAATCACAGAGTTTTATATAGAAATGGATTCATACAAATCCCAAGCAGTTTATCCAATCACATTTAATGAGGCAGAGCTTTCAATTATTTTCAAAAGAACCTGTCCAATCACATTCATTTTAAAGGTATAATTTGCATAAATGCAAAGTACCTTGCCCAAAAAGAAATTTAAATTGAAGAACTCTTTTCAATCACAATGTTAGAAGGTGTAGTTTGTATAAATTCCAAATATTATATCACACATAATCCTTAAAAGATATGGCTTTAGTTCAAATCACCGTGTCCAATCACAATGTTAAAGAGGTGTGGCTTTGTATTCATTTCCAAGTGACTCAGTCAGGGAATAATGGCCTAATAAACCAAAGGCCAAGTTCTCATCTCAATATCTCAGCCTGGTAATTAAACCTTGAATTTCTTTGGAAAAGGAATCACAGATTTCTTTATCTACAGAATGTTAGTTAAAAAAAAAAAAAAAAAAAAAAAAAAAACTCTTAGCAAATAATTTCTGATTACTAGTTCTGGGAAGGAAAGTCTTCAGTCCATAAAAGAAAAAAAAAATGTACTGAATAAAGAAAAAAATCCTTTGGTGTAAGATCAGAATCAATGTAAAACAAAATAAATTATCACAAGTTGGTGTTGAACTATTGAGACATTTCAGAAATATCCAAGAAAGCTTTTAGTTATGTGTATGTGATACGTACTATGTATTTATCACAGAACATGATGTAACATTCTTTTGAGGATGAATCATTGTGTGTGTATATATATATATATATATATATATATATAAAAATGGTACACACAAGTGTGAGTTGACAGTAAGATTTGCAGTCCTTCCCCTCTTGTATAACTGCTTGCAGCTATGAGCACAGTGACCCACATCAGTTCAGTGTGGCTGAACAAGAAAAAAATGGTGCAAGAGAAGGAGCAAGTGGTTTTGTTTTTTTTCTCTCTTTATAACTGTAAAAAGTGTTAGGGGAGGAAAAATGTAGACACTTGTCCCTTTGGGACAAAATCTTCTCTTGTATCCAACCCTGGAGCATTTTCACCAGAACAAGGTCGACTTAAAGTTGAACCTGGCAGTCACCTCTTCTGCTTGACAGAATCTTTGGTTTTCTGCTTGGTCATGTCTTTAAATTTGTTGATCTCAGTTTCTGAAAGTGATACAATGGGTTCCCGCCAGTAGATGGGGCTGCTGTACTCGATAGCCACTTGCTGATCTTTGTGTACCTGACTGCCTTTGTCTGTCTGGTGGAGCGGGGGAAAGAAATGGTCTGCAATATCACTCAAACGGGAATACCTGAAAGAAATAGGAAAATAATTATTTTCAGTGATCAGATCAGAAGCTAAATGGGAATAAATTTTTATATATTTTAGCGGAGTGTACAGAAAAGTGAAAAAGAGATGTGCCAATAAAATAGGTTAGGAGTTCAATATCTAGAAAGATTAGTCAAGTCAATTCAAGGCATTCTTGGAGTTATACCATCTCTGCCATGTTGACTTTTGTCAAAATCTTTCAGTTTGGTTTGTCTTATTTTACAGCATATTGACCTCAATGGGTTATTTAATGCTGACAAGATTTTTATTGCTGGTAATATTTTTTAAAAAATGTATTGCTGGTATTAAAACCTATTTTTATACTTCTATAGTGTTTTGACCCCTTTTTTGCATGGGGGGGACTATTTGCTCATAGCTGGGACCCTGACAGGGGCTACTACTCCAGGTCAGGGTGGACCTGGGAACACCAGCAATTAAGAGGTGATTCCATGCTCCTCAAAACTTTCTGATCAAAGGCCTTGCTGTCAGACATAGTTTATCATCTTACCCAGGATGGCCAAATCTTTCAGGATCTATTCTTTACATATAGCAGTACATGACTTTCATCAATTATGTTGTTGGCCCATAAAACAATATCCTAGTGGATTAAAGCATTACTTTGTGAATTTAGTGGCACAGTAACTATTTTTTTTTAATATTCATTTCACTCCAAGCAAAATGGTAATGCCACTAGGGAACTGAAAGAGAATGAGAAAACTTTAGTGAAGAGAAATGAGGAAAGGACAATAAAGGTTCAGAAAGAAAATGGTTGCATTTAAATTTTTGAAGATTGTAAGTGGCAGGGAAGCAAAAAAATTAGAAGAGAGTTCTACAGATGAGAAGTGAAAGAGAAGAAATTGTTAGAATAAAAGTGGCAGTTGCACCTAGCTAGTTCAACAGTAAAAACAGTGAGAACTAGTTGCCAGTCTAGAAGCACACTTAAATTCATGTAAAGGCACTGGTAAAAAAAAAAAAAAATGTTCATCAGAATAGTTTTCATGAAAATATCTGTAGAAAAGACAGAGGGAAGCCACCAGGAGAAAAAAAACGAAATTGGGGAAAGGGAGAGGCAGAGGAGGAGGAAGAGGAAAAAAGAGATCAGGAAAGGGAGAGGAGGAAAAGGAGAAAAGATTGGGGAAGGGAGAGGAGGAGGAGGAAAAGGAAAAAGATCGGGGAAGGAAGAGGAGGAAGAGAGAAAAAAAATTGGGGAAGGGAGAGAAAAGAAATAAAGAGTAGGGAGATGAGAAAAAAAACAAAAAGATTTTTAATTTTACTTGAAGCCTATGATATAAAAAATGTAATTTAAATGAATTAGCAGGCCAGAAAAAGGAAATTAAAAATAAATTTGAACAACTTTTTATGGGAAGAAGCATTGAATGCTTTATTTAAATATACTTTATTTCAGGATTTTTTAAAAATTTTTTTATTTATATTTAATATTTTAAAACAGGTAACTATTTTGACAAACTCTGGCATTGTTGAATTTTATTAAGTAGAAGTTATATATTAATGCATTACAACTTTAAACACAAAAGGATTTATGGAAATATGTACACATGCAATTTAAAAAGAAAGATATTTTCTTTGCTTACGAGGAATGGAAGGTGCGAATCAGTTCATGTCGAAGTTCTCCACGGTGATTAATGGTGAAGATACGAGAGTCAGGAATGTTTAAGGCTTTATAAGCATAGACATCCTGAAAATAAAAAAAAAAAAGTAAAATTAGCTTTTAAGAAAGAAATCAGAATAGATAATGCAACATTAACAAATAATTAATAGATTAACAGATAATGCAATATTATTAAAAGTTTAAGAAAAAGTAGGGGGGGGAATGTACACATTTTACATCTTGAGAAGAACTAAAAATAATCCAAATCCAATTTTTCTTGTATTGGCATTAAAATCATTAGAAATTTCAAAACGGGGAGAATAATGGTGAAAATTTTAAAAATAAAATAAAAATCTTTTAGTAATGTTTCTGAAATCTGATTAAAGAAAATTAGATTGGATTTTTATGTTTTAATTTTTTTAAATCTATTAGTTTCATAAATATAAGTGAGAATAGCCGTTTCCAAATAGGAAACATTTGACATTCATTAACTGAACAGTCAGTGTTGCTATTAATTGAAATTTATAAAGTTTCGCTTGAAACGTTTCTTTTTTAAAAAAAAAAAAAAAAAAAAAAAAAGAAGAAGAAAAATAGGCTCCTTAAGTCCACTGTTATCACTTTAGTATTGATCTGAGTTTCCTTCCTTTCCTTTAAGGTAAGGTGTAACATCTTGGTTATATCATTATTTTCTCTTCTACTTGCATGTGCTATCCATTTTAATCATTGCTACTGTTGGAAGTATTTAAGTGATGTATTTTTTGTTATTTTAAGTAATGTTAAAACAAAAATTATATATGGAACCAATAAACAACTAAATGATAAATATATAAAGATTTTATCAACACTGGTGTTTTGAATCAAGCAAGAAAAAAATTCTTCAAAAACTTACTGTGATTTTATTTCCAAAGCCAGCATAAAATGGATTACTAGGGAATAAAGCAGCAATATCTTTGAGGCAACTAATTTTAAATTCTTCAGGATTTTTGTTAACCACTTCCCTGAAAATAAAGAGAAAATGTGATTTAAGAGAATGAAGTCAAGATTTCTTCTTGGCAGAAATTCTAACATTAAAATATCTAAAGAAAAAAATTGCAGAAAGTTAAACTAAAACTCAAAACTTTTGATAGACAAAAATAGCTTCTCAAAGAGAAAAACAATTTGATAGACCTCCTCTAATGTTTAAAATATTTCTGGTTAATTAAGTTTGTTACTAAAATGAATTTATAGAAATCGACATTTGAATATTTAATTCTTTTGCTGAAAGTACAGCATTACTTTTCAAACAACTTCTTCAAGCTTCAAACATTTAAATGCAAAGCCAATTGCCATTTTTCTGTCTTTCTGAAACCTGTTCTTTTATTGTCCTTTCTCCTCACTAAAGTCTTCTCCTTTTCCATTCGCAGTAACTCCTTGTGTCTTAGTGACATTATCTTCTGCCTTTCTGAAATCTATTCTTTTATGATTCTTTCTCTTCACTAAAGTTTTCTCATTCTCTTTTACTATCAGTAACCCCTGGCATTATCACTTTGCTTGGGATGAAATGATTAAAAAAAAAAAAAAGAAAAAAATAATAGTAATCAAAACACAAAATAATTGAAAAACTTTGTATCTTTCATTTGACTGGAATAAAGTAGACTGATGGCTGAAAGTTTTGAAGCTGAACTGATAAGATTATTTTTTTCAACACATTCATCTCAAAGGAAAAACGGTTTTGGTGCTAATAATAATAATAACAACAACCGCTAAATGCTATAAATATTTACTCATCTATGGGATGGAGGATTTTACATTCTTAAATATATGGCAACCAGAATGTATAGATCAAATTTCTAATTAGAAAGTACATTATAAAGCATATTTTAAAGATTGACAATAGACAAACCTGTGTAGAGCACGAATAAGAGATGTAGGGTTAAGTAACAATGGACCATCTGGAAGAACGAGGTCGCCTTGTTTAATATTCTTAAGTAAATCTTTGGTTATTCGGGATTGTCCTATAGCACGAGCACTTAGATAGACAAATTTGTAGCTGTTGTCATAAATCCGTGTGAAAAGTTGTGCCACACCACTTTGAGACCAGTCTTGACCAATAATTGGCAGAATGTGTCCAAGTACATCAGATCTGGAGAAAAAAATTACTTGATTATTACTTAAACAGAAAAAAAAAAAAAAATTCAAAAATATTATTGATACAAATTCGTTTATGGTTACAGTCTATGTAATATTAAACCTATTTTGTATTAGAAATAAAAATATATATCTTAAAAGAAAGAACTGATGTAGAAATATTACAGTTCACTTTTTGCTAGAGAAATGATTCAGATCCAAAACAAGATATTCTTCTCCAAAAATATTTAATAAAAATTCCACCTAAAAGTTAAGGATTTCATTTTAGTTTGTCTTTGCTGTTTTCCAATGCACAAAATACAGATCAAGGGTTGAAATTTATTAAATACACTTTATGTCAAAATTTGCAATATTTAGTCCTTTATCAAATTTTTACCTTTGCTACAATAAATATTTACTTAGTGCAGGAAATGACTTAAAAAACAGTAATAAGAAAAATAAAATGTTTGTTACCATTAAATAGTTTCCAATACAGCGAGTCATAAAATATATTTGTGGTTATTGTTTAATTTCCACTTACTACTGTGACATAAGGGAACTTGGTTGTGATCAAACACTCACAAAGTAAATTGGAATTTTAATGTTATCTGGATTCAAAACAAGGTAGTTTTTTTTTTATGACTATGTAGACAATAAAATCCATGAAGTAAGATCTTCCTGGCAGCTAAGTGCTGATCAAAAGGAATAGATTTAAAAAAAAAAAAAAAAAAAAAATACTTTTGGGATTAAGTGCTGCATGGCTGGAAGTTAGGAAGTTCTGGCCACAGGCTTATATTAGCAAATTTACTGTTAAAATGGCCAGAGGAGTTTGCCTGTTAGAAAAAGTTTCAAGCTACCCATGGGTGAACTGCAAGCTGTGCATGTGTCAGGATGTAGAGATGGGCAGTTGTGTAGTCTGTAGCAGCAAAAGGTTTTCCTGCTAGTGTTACCTACCCCCAGATTGTGCAAAAGGAATCCCTGAATAAAGAAATATATTGGATACAAGATTTGCATTTTTATTTCTTGCAGTGTTGTTAACTTCACCTTCTATTCTCTTTTCCCAGTTTTTGTGCACACCAACACAGAGAGAGGGCAACAGGATATGTTTAGGCTACCACAATTTAAGGTCATAAAATTTTAATCAGTAGAATTAATTAATTTATTTATTTTTTAAATCATTTATTTAATAAATCCTTCCTGTGACATCCTGAGTTGCATCCATTAGCTATTTTTAGAATACTTGCCAAAATGGTTTTTAACATAATGCTGCTGAAAGTGTATAAATAGTCTGTCTCTTATACAGTAAATGTAGAAATGGTCTGTCCGTTACTTACTTGGTAATTGTTCCATCAATATCAGAAATAACAATTTTTTCATTAGTCTTCCAAAGATAGATGTGGGACGTACAACGGCAAGTACCTTGATACTGAGTCGTTACAGAAAATGTGACTTCATTTTGACCTTCATTCAGGCCAAGTTTATGCTGAAAGAAAACATAGAAAGAAATAATTTGACCAAGAAATTAAAATTTTAAAAATTTACAAAAATCCAAAACTCGAAAAAGGAAGTTGCAATGTAAATTGAAAAGGAATTTAAGATTAAATATTCAAATTTAAAATTTATATGGAGGTAAGCAACAATTGATACAATTTGTGGAAGGAGATGATTGAGACAAAGCAGACATATAATTTAACACCTCCAGTGTCAATGTTCTCCCTCCCCAATGACCTGTATTTATTTATATGGAGGTAAGCAACAATTGATACAATTTGTGGAAGGAGATGATTGAGACAAAGCAGACATATAATTTAACACCTCCAGTGTCAATGTTCTCCCTCCCCAATGACCTGTAAGCCAATAAGAAAACAATAATGATTTCCTAGACAGTAAATAACTTAATGACAAAATGAAGTAAAAGTGCAAATTTCAAAAAGGGGAACTTTACATAATGAACATTGGAACTTAATAGGAAAAGAATTTGCAATTAGTCAGATTATGAGAGAATTTTTTTTTTGTAGATCAAAATCAATTTTGGCTTGTGTAATTCAAAGAAGGTTACATAGTACAAAAGACAGACACCTAAAAGAGATTCGAGTGTACAATGGTCAAAACAAGGTGAACATGTGTGTGCAAATAGCAACAAATAACAAGGATTTACAAGAAAAAGATAAACTAGAAAGTATTAAACAGAATGTAGCAGAAAGAAAAAGATGATGTAAAATTATAAGTAACATCATAAAGAAGAAAGATTAAAAAGAAAAATATGAACACTCACAATTTCCACAGATGTGAGACGTAAAGATTTCTTAAATCTGTCTTTTTTGGTTTCACTTGATGCTTGCGGTTCAGAGGAATTTGAAGCAGTACCTGATTGTGCACACTCACGTTCAGATATGTCGGTTTCTGCATCACTGTAGATCAAAGGCTCTGAGGTTACTCCATCCACATCAATGATGTGATCTTCCTGATCAGGAGAAGTGGGGGGGAAAAAAATGATAATAGTTTACAATCCAGATGGTGAAAATGTTTTAAATTAAAAGCAGATTCTTTAAAATTCTTAATTCAGGAGGAGTTTCATTTTTATTTAAAATGGGGAAAAGGAAAAAAAAAAAAAGAAGATTAATATGCAATTAAGACAAAATCTTTTTTTAGAATATTTTATAACAGGATATCAACTATTATGTTGATATTTTTTTCTATCATTTCATAAGTGAACATATTACAAGTCCTGTAAAGTCCTCAGTCCAACCAAGAAAGAACTTGAAAAAAAATTCTCATATTTGGTTAGATTTTGGGAAGTAGATTAAGCAGAGAACTTTTCAGCCCCACCTTTTGTGTGGGTGCATACTTGTAGAAATCAACACAGCATGATTATGGTCAGTTTCACATGTCTATCAAGACTGATGGATTGTGGGATTTGTTTGATTGTGGTGGGGCTGGATGGCTGGATGAATTATCCATGTCATTTGTCTTTTTGAATGATGGATATTGATATAACTGCTGTTATAACGAAATAATGAAGTTGAAGATCAGATATTATTTAAACCTTTACTTTTGGTAATACCGGCATGTAACCAGTATAATGGAAGATGACTGAATAGAGCCATGTTTTGCACGTGTGTTTATGCATCCGCTATTTTTGTCCCAACTAGACGAAACTCGCCAATCCAGGTCAATATTCCGTATGGTTATCTCCCTTAGTTCGCTTTGCCATAGCAGATATATACTTTTTAAAGGTTCAAACTTACATTTAAGTTAAATTTGTTTGAACACCGATTTCAAATCTTGTTTATAATTTTTCTGATTTTATCAGTTTTTTTCTTTTTCCTGTTGCAGTTACTTAAGATTATTAATTTCTCATCTCTGTATAATACTTTTTTGTTAATTATCCCAGCTAGTGCATGATATATATATATATACCCAAGTATATGATTGGTGTATACGGAATAAATTCCAATAACCAACAATTACTATTCTTAAAAGAGTGCTCAATACAGAGTAGAGCAGATATAATTATTTATTTAAAAATTATAACAAATATGTTATAAAATGGATATTTTCGTAGTGACTTTTAACATATTTATGTTATATTTTTTAAATATATATATATATATATATATATATATATATATATATATATATATATATATATATATATATATATATATGTGTGTGTGTGTGTACATATGACTAAGTTAAAAAAATATTTGCTTGAAAATAACTATGAACCTACTGTGTATTAGACACAATAAAATATCTGATTGTAAATTATATTTTCCAATCCCCTTTTGAAAGAAAGAGTTGTACAGCTTCACCCAAATTCTGTAGAATTTGTGTTCAAAAACATTACTTTGGACAATCAATATCCAACCTTACAGAGTAGCAATATGAAATCAACTGAGATACAAAAGAAAAAGGAGATCCCAGTTATAAAATTTTGTTATTTTGGATGCAATTACTGAATTTCCTATGAAACAATCGATACGGATTTGTGCTAAGGTTTAAAATTCATGTAAAGTTTTCTTTTAACAATCATTTCAGTCTGCATATTTCTGCATATTAATCAATATCAACCTATCTGTAAACATGTGTGTCAAAACTACTTTGGACACTGATTATACAGGCTATTAGGATCTACCTGGAGGAAAGCTAAATCCATATAATTAGAGTTTCAGAAATTCACTTCAGTTTAGTTTTATAAACTGGTTTAAATAAAATAAAATAGATGGTGGAAAAATGTTCAGCTCATTCTAATGCTCCAGAAAGTATCTGACTCCTCCTGCCATGCTTTACTCTACAAGAATCAGATCAGAACAAAAAAATGGAGTATTGCTGTCATATCTGAACTCGAGCTGCCCAATCTACACTTTCCACCTTTCAAACTTATTTATATGGCTTTGTTGGTGATGACTTATTTTTTTTTTATTCTACAGCCTCTTCCCCATAGATGCAACATTGCAAGTCTATTGCTACTCTATCAATATTTCCATGGCAAATGACGAGTTCCGTTCATTAGTTCCACCAGTTCAGACTTTTACATCTAAGACCTGCTATGGAGTCAAATCATCCTTATTCCCTCCATATTCCAATTGCATGAAGCAAGTCCCACTCAAACAGACCCCTCCTCCAAGAACCATTGTTTTTTGGAACAGACTACTATGTGGACAATCTTAACCTCTTCATGTCAAGGGTCAACCATTATGTATCCTCCATATCCTCACTTCCTATTTCATCCTTTTACGTTCACATCACACACTTCGTTCAGCAACTTTCTACCTTGGGTGACTCTTAAGCCATGTACTGAGTAAACATTAGTAAAAATGTCAATGTAGTTAACTACTAATTCCAGACATTGTAGTAATATTTTCTAATACATTTTTTTAAACTTCAACAAGAGACAAAAAAAAAAAAAAGTATATATTATTTATTCTACCTTTGGTTTAGGTACCATGATATCTTCCATCATATGGGAGACTTCTGGTAGACTGGATGACGTCAACATGATTTGTGGCTGGGAAGGTAATGATCCTCCACTGGTTGCAGTAGAAGTTGGATTTGTAATGGCCCCTCCCGTCACAGTTACAGCTGGGCTGGCAGTAGTGGAGGTTGTGGTAGTACTGGTGGTGGTTATGGTGATGGTGGTGGTAGTGGTGGCAGTGGTAGTTGCACTGGTAGTGGATGTTGGGTTTCCTGTAATAGGAGGTGGTGGGGGTGGAGGAGGTGGAGGTATAGTTTGCTGAGAGTCTTGCTGAGAACCACGCCCCCATTTGAACCAAGAGCTCATACCCCCACCACTCTTCTTTTTGTCAACTTTCTTTGGCATATTGTCTTTGACTAAATTATCAACAACTGGCTGGAAAAGAAAAAAATATATATTTTATATTCAATTAATCAAGGAAAGTGGAGGTGACTTATCTGATTTTCCAACTCATGAAGTTAATGTCAAGACGTTCATCAGACCAATCATGAACTTAATAGCAGATCAATATTTATGCTCTTTCTTGATGATTGAATTCTAATTTTCAAGTTTAAAATTGACAGATTAGAGTTTGAATACAAATGTCACAAGATTTAAATTTAGAACCAGTTATTTATATATAAAATTATGTCATTATTTTAAATTTCTAAGTATTATATAATTTGTAATATCCAAACTTACCAATTATTTGTTTATTTTTAAATTAATTATAGATTCAATTTATTTTTATTTATAAAATGAAGATAGCTTAAATGGAAAAAAATACTTGCAGCTTTGCTTGACAAGAAATCTAAAATAGTTAAAGAACTTTTAAGGGATGACTAACAGGAAAGAAAGTTGTGAGGTTTTTTATATATATATATATATATATATATATATATATATATATATATATATTAGTGCATTTAGGCAGCATTTTTTTATTCATACGTTTCATTAAATAATATAGACAAGTGCCGTCTATTTATTTTATACTGTGATTTTTCTTTCTTTGTTTAATGATAATGTTATTAAGCTTATCAGACATTATGAAAAGAATTTACATAAAATAGACTATATATATATATATATATATATATATATATATATATATATATATATATATAAATTTGAAAATTTTTTTTTCTTTGTTCTGAAATTTAAAAATTTGATTAACATGTAATTTTCATTGTTGCCATCCAAGGCTATAGAACCTGGTTTGTCCTGCTATTTACTCTGGGGGAGGGGGAGAAGAAAAGGATTCATGCCTTTCCCAAGGGTATTAGCATGTAAGTGAATGTAATGGATTTGAGTGGAATTCGAACTTGACTCTTAATTCCTCAATCTCCTATCCATTACTCCACTGTGCCTCCTAAAAATTTTACAGGAGCTCAAATAAGTTTTTTTTTCAAGTGCTTGTGTGTGTGTGTGTGTGGGGGGGGGAATGATATATAATTATTTTAGTTACATGAGATATATATAAGTTCAGAATACCATAAATTATATTAATGCTGTTTAACAAGTCAAATGCATGTGAACCCTGCTTAACCAATGAAGATCAAACAAAAAAAATAAAAAATAAAAATACCAGAATCTTTTTTTCTCCATCTCATTCTCTGATGAAGCTTTAATAAAGTGAAACATGTTAGATTGATAAATGTTTACTATTTGTTCTTTATCCTATCATAACTACAATTCATTACCTTTTATGCGTTCCTAATTGAAATCTTGTTGAGAACACTTTTCTTTTCAGAACATCACATTTTTAAAATTTACTGAACTAGGCCAATGAGTCAGTACAAAGATAACAAAGGAATGGATTGATTATATAATAATTGATACATGATTAAAATTAATGAACAACAATAACTAATATTGGTCAATAATGAAAACTAACCATTTGAGAATATTAACTACTTGTATCTTTTAGAAGTTCATCTAGATGGGCTACCAACCAAGGCAACAAAGCCCAGTCTATCCATAACTGGAGGAAGAAGATACTGATCTGTGCCTTTCACAGGGAATTTAGTACAAAAGTAACAGCAACAGATTAGGATGGAGTTTGAAATCTGTTTACAGATTCTGCTTTCCACAATTATCCACCTATACCCTTGGTAAAGGTATGAATCCCCTCCCACCACCAGCTATGGGTTAGTAAGACTTGTATCACTAAACAAAAAAAAAAAAAAAAAAAAAAAAACTTATGATCTAACTTTAAATAACCTGCAAGGGTTAATAAGCCATAAAACCAAAAAAAATTATGCTGCTACCCAATCTAGGCAATGTTTACTCTGAATTCAAAATTGTGAAGAGGGAAATAGGAAACAAGACCAATATATTTCCTAAGAAGTTATGGCAATTCACAAAAAATATATCTGTGGAGAGCCATGTCTGTCTACATGAAGGAACATCACATTAAAAAGAAAAAAAAAAGAAACTCTAAATACTTCTTTCGATTAATCATTTAGATACTAACCAATTAAGCAACTTCAAAAAATTCTAAAGACTTATTTCATAATCTGTAATTGACATATTTGAAAGCATAGAGGTCCATAGTGAATGGACATGTAGGTTTTTCTTTTTAAGTCATTAACAAGTAATTTATTAAAAAAAAAAAAAAAAACTTACCTGAGGTAGATTTTTCTGAAAGGAAACCATTGACAGAACAATTGGTGCAGCAGTTTGCCAGTTATAAAAACTGAAAAGAAAAGTGGGGAATAAAATAGAAAAAAAAAGTAATATATTTTTGTAGAAAAAAAAAGGAAAAAAAGAAAGAAAGGTGATACTGTTTTGCAAAAAGAAAAAAAACATAACTAAAGAAGTAGTGGAGGACCACAAAACCTGTTAAAAAAATAAATGCAGCAAATGTTCATAATATAGAATATCGATAACTTAATTTGATATTTATTCTTTATATTTATTTGTATTAAGAACATAATTATTGGTATATTTTACTGTAGCTTCAAGGATTTTTTTTAAAGATCTGAAGGAATTGAAAGTTAAAGTCTTAATTATTAAGCAATAGGGACGCACGGTAGAGTAACAGATTGCGGCTCGGATTAAGGGATTGGAGAGCAGAGTTCAAATTCCAGTCATTACATTCACTTAAGTGTTAATACCCTCAGAAAAGGTATGAATCCAACTCTTCTCTCCCCAACTATGGGTAAATAGGACAGACTAGGTTCTATAGGAATAGGAAAACTCTGAATTCAAAAAACTGTATGTAGCCCTGGCAAAGCACATACAATGCAGCTAAGGAAAAGATCATTCACATTGACTCAATGATCCAGATGATGGCTGATTCCTTTATGAGTGGGATGGCAAAACGTTGTTCGCCCAACCAAGAAAGAATCCCAAAGAATATGATGTTTGGTCAGATTCTGGAAGTGGGTTGGACAGTATCCACCACCATACGGATATTACTTTATTAATGCTTGACTTATTTCCTTTGATTTAATTTTAGTTTTTTTTTTCTTGTCATGTTCAAACTGTTGGTCTATGGCCAATTTTAGTCATAATAGCTGCAATAAAAATGAACTGCAGTCATCAGTAAAATAATATTGATCATAAAACATTTCAAGCAGGGGAAAAAAAATCCAAGTTCAATTCTTGCCAAGTGTTTATCCTTTATTTCTGATCCACTGTTTACTGATGATCTTCATTATATATATATATATATATATATATATATATATATATATATATATATATATATATATATATATATATATAAATAATGTGTGTGTGATGTAATAGAATTAACTTGGCTTAGGCAGTTTGTGACAGATGTTATGGTATACAATTCCTATACTGAATCTCATTACAGACTACTTGTAACTAAACTGACAACACTAGCCAAGAAAATAGCTCACTTCTAGATATAATAAAAACAAAAACCAAAAGTATAAGATTATAACTCCATGATAAACTAGAGTCCAAATTGACATCCAAACCTCGACCAAAACAAGAGGAATCAAATCTTATATCTTTATTGACAAGACCATCCAAGAATATCTAGACAAAAAAAAAAAAAAATCCTGTGGGATGATAATTTCAAATTTGAAAAGATTGATATAAGAAAGGAACAGAGGAGGAAGAAAAAGAGAAAATACTAAACACTTAATAAAGGAAAAATAAAGTCTGTAAATGCTCTGAGAAATCAATATCTTCAGAAAATTAGAAATCATATTAATGAAGCCAAACAGCAAAGATAATACATTATTTACATTATTTGGACTATTGTCCTCATCTTTGTTGTCATATTTATCACAATGTTTCAGCTGTTGTATGCTCTGGCCTTCTTGAGGGGGTTGGAATGTTGAACTGAACCCTTTATTTTGCTCACTGGAGTAGTAGTTACCAGTTATCTCCTGTTAATTCACCTCTCCAAGTTCTCGACTGCCTCAACCGGGTATTGAACTCACACTCTTTGGGTCCTGTCATTGGATCTAAGCCTTATCCACTGTGCCATGTGCCCTTAAGGACACATGGCACAGTGGATAAGGGTGTTGGTTTATCGCACATTAATGTACTATTGAAACAAAATGGTAGTCATCAAGACCTATACATATACAGAAATATTTCAATTGGATTCAATATGGTGAAAGTACTAATGAACATTGTATTAACTAAGCTCGCATCGTTTTATGAAAGTCAACTCCCGACAGCCTAATTTGTCTTTCATTCTGTAAGGGGTGTAATGATGGCATATACACCCAGAACCACACTAATAGCTTCATAGTAAACTTTAGAATTTCTCAGTTTTCTACGAATTGATTTTGATAAAACCTTTACCAGCTGGTTTGAACAATATGGCAACACCATTGTTAGGCTTTCATTAATCTGCATAACACCCTTTATTTTTTTTTAATTTCAGATTTGACAGTTTTTGGCTATTAGCCTGGTTCACTCCAAAAACCATGCTAAGATAAAGCTTTCCAAAACAAACTATGATCTGGAATTGGAATGAAAGAATGTACCGTGAATTAATACATTCTAAGCACTTCAGATACCTCAGTATATGCATCACTTAAAACAAATTTAGTATAGGAGGTAAGGAAATTGAACATAGAATAGGCCACACTAGATGTAGTTTCACTCAATACCACAAGTTGCTACAGAACCAAAACAGTGACCTAAGAACTCTAGTTACGTTTTTGAATAGCCTCATAAATTCATATGGATGTCATGCCTGGTGCCAATCTCGTACAGAAATATCTAAACTGTCAGCTGTATGCAACCACTTTCTAAGATCAATGGTTAAAAATGGCTTTGAGCAAATGATCCCTGTAGGTCTTAGTGAGAACCATTCTTCTTCAAACCTTGTGGACAAGTGCTACAGAAACAAAGAACTGTACCAAATAACAGAAACCACATCACTTAAGGACTTTCAACAGCAGTAAAAACTAAAATGGATAGCATATGTAACTCAAAGAGAAAATAATGACATAATCAAGATGTTGATGTACCAAATGACTTGAAACAAAAAGTTAGTAAGGAAACTCCAATCAACATGGGAAAGAGCAATAACAGTGGACTTGAAAAACCTATTTTCCTGAAAATTTTAATCTTTTAGAAAGATTTTATAAATTTAAACTGAAAGCAGCACTAGTCAATGAATGCCAAATGTTTCCTTATAAGTAAACTGCTAATATTACCATTACCATTGGCTGACAGTCTGTGTAGATATGATGAAACAAAATTAATTCGATCAACGAGACACTTTATGGCTGAGTTGGTCTAAAGCTCTTTGGATTTAACAATGGTTTCTCCTGCTAAGAGGGATGCAGGTTCAAATCCTGTGGGAGGGCGTATCTCTTCTTTAATCATGACTTCTTGAATAATCAGGTCAGTAGACTTAAATAAATAAACATACTGTTTATTAAATAAACGGAGCATCTCAAATAAGGATATCCATTAAAAATAATGTTTAAGCGATGATATAATAAAAGGAATAATGAGAGAATATAAAGAGACAAGAAAATTATGAAAAGAAGAATTAAGCATGACATCCTATACATATGCACATATACAGGTGTACACACACAATGAAAAATCAACCTAACGCCAATAATAGCGCACATGGATTTTTTTTTAACTTAATATGAAAATAAGAAAACTGATGAGGGGAGTGAACAATTACACAAAGGTTTGTCTCCTAAGTGACAAATCTTATATTTGTATTAATCCTATATATATATATATATATATATATATATATATATATATCTCCCCCCACTGGATTTGTGTTGTCTGAAACTGTCTAGAAATGTAACTCCAATGAATATACTGTAACCTTACTAATGTCACAGACAATGGTATGTTATTTTATTTGCCAGTTTATTCTGTATAGATTTATAGTTGCAAGGGAGTATGGCCAGTTTGTTACCCTGAGAAAAGGTATTTAATTAGGTGCATGAACAGGTATTAAAAATGATGAGTGTCAAATAATTACCTAAATATATTCATGGTCAAGTGAATAAAGAGTAATGAATGAGAAATACTAACAAAAGAAAGCCAAAGTCATTCAGAGAGAACAAAGAAAACTGTCTGAAAAATAAAGCAGTGTTTTAAAGACATGATATTTTGGGGGTAACATCAGCTAAATATATTTTTTATAAACCGTCAAGTGTGGTTACTCTTGTCATGAGGTAATGGTTATAGAGATGGTCTTGCATATAATTGCTATTAAGTATGGAACATGTGTGTTCATTTTGGTGAATTTGGGCAGAAATTTCTTATTTATGAACCTTTGGTTGATTGCAAACCAACAATTTTTTTTTTATATTCATTTTATAGTTTGGATCATTTTCTTGATTTCCAAGTGGAGTTTGAACATATATTGTCCAATGTCTTATTGGTATGCATTTTATTCCTTTAGTGATTTTTACATGGAAATGGGAGACAATGAAGGTTTTTTTTCAAGTCTAGTGTCTTCATGCATCACTTTATGACATCCTTTATTTTTTTTTTTTTTAAGTCGTGAAATACCTAATATATGTTCCTAAATTGAAAATTATATTGATTGTAGGTTGGTGTTTTCATGGTTATCACTTCTAGTATTTATAGATTTTTCTTTTTTTTAGTTTCTGTTTATATGGTATAGTATTTTGTATTATTGATAAGTATATATGAGAATCCTTCTTGTGTCCTGTTGCTGTTGGTTGTTGATAAGTGACTTAATGGAGTTATTAAATAATAGCAAGTTAATTGACAAGATAATGTTGTTATTATGTAGCCATTCATGTGGTGATGTATTATTATTAGAGAGACATTCTCTAAGTGGCCAAGTGGATTTGTAGACAACAGTGGTTAATTGAAGTTTTGATTTTTTTTTTTGTTGTATTGTTGGTGATCAGGTTAAAGATCTTCAATTTTTTTTTCCTTAAGAGAGGAGTTTAATCCACTTGTTTCTGTCAATAGGTGTTTATATATATATATATATTTCTTATACTTTCTTTACTCATATATGGTTGGTTTCTGCGAAATAGTTTAATGGCAATTTTTTAATATTTGATTGTTTTGCATTTGTTATTCTTTTATTTACATTTGTTTTCTATTATATGGTTAGCGAAATTACTGTCAATGTTTGTTTTATAATTTTAAGTTTGTTATAGAATATTGTGCCTGTAGAGGATATTAAATGTACTGTAATTATGAAGTAATTTATGATGGCTATTTTGTATCTTTGTAGGCATTCATTGTTATAGTTAAATTCTGCTAGTATTGGCATAATAAGTGAACCCATAGCAATACCATCACTTGTGTGAATTTATTACTCAAGTAGTTGGAAAAGGAAACTTGTGTGATACATACTAATAGAAATTTCATGAGAGTTATTAGTTTTATTCTTGGATGTATAAGTGATGGATATTAATAAATGTTAAGTATTTATTTGTTATGATACCGACTAAGAGTTATCTCGTACTTTCTGATATATTTTCATCTGCAGGTGCCAAGTTTATCTGCAGTAATAAAATCGTGAAATATACCTAATATATGTGAAAACAATGTTAAAACTTCAGTTGCAGCTATGAATCAACTCAAAAATTTTTTGTTGCTCAAGTTGTCCATTTTAAAGTTAGCATTTGAAGACCACAAGCAGTCAGCATGTTAACTTTAAAAGATGATTGAAACGGTCTTAATAACTTGACAGCTTCAGTGAATTTCATGGTAAAAAGAATTAAAATTTACTGTATTCATTAATTTATTCTTTCATTCATTAATTTATTCTTTGTACATGCTAATTACTACATTTTTCTAATTGTTTTTTCATCTAAACAAGTTTTCTCTATATTTGCTAGATTAAGAATACATTTAGTAGAATCTTATAAAAATAATTGTTTTAATTTTAATTCTATCTGTCCTTTGAAATGGATATTTCTTCAAAGATCTCAAACAGTGAAAAAAATAAAAGACACAAAAAACAAGTTTAAGGTCATCCTTGACCAAAGCAATGAGAGAGAGAGAGAGAGGAATGAATTCTAGATATCTCTTTTTAAGAGCAGAAGTAGAAAGAACGTCAATGGAGAAAACTCACTTGTCATGTATTTTGACAACTAGATCTGGATTGTTGACAATAGTTGGAGTCTCAGAGAGGTCGTCAAATGTAAGCACTTTTTGCATGAATTTTTCCAGGGTGACTCCTTCAGAGTCTCCTAATCCTCCGCACAAGGAGAGAGAGACCTCTCCCAGATGTCTGACTTCAGACTCAAGGAAATTCACCGATGGACCCCCAATTGCTCCCTCCACAGAGTGGGGGGATTGGGGGAGAGAAGCTCCACGCCCAGACTCATTATCCTCTTCTTTGTCCTTGATGGATTCAAAATGGCTGTAGGGAAAAAAAAAAAAAAAAAAAAAAAAAAAAAAAAAAAAAGAAAGAGAACTTGCAATAAAAGTGAAAAACCACATGCAGAAGAAAAAATTGCAGGAAAGGTAAGTAAAAAAAGAAAAAAAAAAGAAAACATGATATGCTGATGAGAAGACCAAATTTAAGTGTCACCGAAATGATAGTTATTTGTTTATATGGTGTGTAGCTAAGAAAAAGGAAACAAAAGTACTTTCTGTGACATCTCTAGTTTTAGTCATTAAAGATTTCCTCATATTGTCTGCATCTATAAACATCTTCCACTTACTTTTGGCCAGTTATTTGACATCTCAAGGTCTCTACAAAAATAGTAAAATTTCTTATCAGGAATTCTTCATTTGGAGTCAATTTTCCTATATTATGTTACATTTATCTGAATTTGCTTTTACTATCAAAAAGATTTTTTAATTTTGTATGTTAAAATTAGCAAAGGTTATATAAATTATGACAATTTTCTTCTTTGCCCATTATTTTATCATACTTGATATAATTGTTAAATTTAATTAAATAACTATATATATATATATATAAAAACATAAGAAAAAAAAATTATCTCCACTAAAATAGGTCAATTTATATAATTCAAATAAATTCTTCATGATGTAATTTTAATGAGAGTACCTCCACATTAGAAATATGGTACCCCAAAAAATAATGCAAAAACTATCACAAAAAAAAAAAGGTAAAAAATTATCTTACGAAATAGATCAAGAAAAAAAAAAAAAAAAAAAAAAGATTCTTTATAAAAAGGGTAAATTGATTGACTTTTAAAAATGAAACAATGTGACAGGCCAGCATTTTTTTTTTTTTTAAACCATAAAAAGGCAAGTTTTTGTTTATTTTTTCACTTTTGGGATTCACAATAAATTGCCTAAAATGTATGAAAAAAAAAAATAAAAAAATAAAAAAAATAAAAGTAAAATAAATAAAAAAAAATAGCAGGCCTGTTTGATGATTGATATGTACAATTTAAAACTTTCATGGCTTATAATAAAATCATTTCTTTCATGTAGTAATTTTATAAAACAGTTTCAGAAATAGTTTGTTTTATGGCCATATTCCCAATGTGGAGATAATGTCACATTTTATCTATTTTCAAATATGGTTTATTATTTCTAGACAGGTACTTGTCGCAGTCTGCTACAAGGCTACAAATGTGAAATGCTCAGGAAAGTAGAAACTCAGTACAGTTGTAAAGGCTTGCAAGATTAGCTTGTTAGCCATTACTCTAAAGCAGGGAACTATAATCATTTTTTATATATGTTTGTTGCTATGCAATTTTAAAATATTAGCATCTTTTCAGGAAATGTTTTAGTCAACACAAAGCTGAGTGAGCAAATATTGATTATTCCTTTATTTTCAGTTTACATTCCTCACGACCAAAGATAATTTTGGTGGTTTTAAATAATAAAGGGGCTAGTACTAAATACTAGACAATTTATAATTAAGTGCATTATTCCTTTGAAATCTTTCATTTAATTTTTTTTATTATAATTTGTCTAAAATATTTGCTTGCTAAAATTTTTGTAGTTCTTGTTAAAAATCTGTTACCTATTATATATTCAAAATATTCAGACAGAACAAATGTTTGTAGCATTTTTAAGTGAATTTCAAAGACAATATTTAAATATTTGTACATAAATCAAGTCAACCATATTTATGCTATTTTTGTTCCATTACTTTACATTCACCATTTTTGAGGCAGCTTCATGATTCCATCCTCCCACAGTTTGGTATCTTTTTGGTTGATGGAGTTTTCCTTTATTTTGAATTTATTTTAACTAATAAAAGGAGCAAGTATAGTTTTGTTTAATTTTATTTATTTATGATAAATTGCCTAAAACATTTTATTGAGAGCGCCTCAAAATATTTACTAAAATTTTTGTAGCTATTTTTAGAAAAAAAAAAAAAAAAAAAAAAGAAAAAAAAAGAAAAGTTATCTATTATATATTCAAAACAAATAGGATTTTCAATTAATATGTTCTTGGATTTATCATTTATTTCTATTTAAATTTTGAATTAAATCTAGAAACATGATTTTAAGTTATGTAATTTTTAATGCACTTGGCACTGTGTGCCTTAAACAATTATTCAAAACTATTTTCAGAAAAAGGGAAACTTCTAGAAAACAAATTATTACTAAGTTATTTTGTTTATAAATAATAAAATTTTACTATCAAAAAAACTTGTATTTTGTTATTTTGAATCAAGGTAAAAAAGTCACTTTTCTTGCACAAAAAAAAAAAAAAATTAAAAACAGAATCTGCATATATAAAAATGATATTGTGACATCTTGATTTATACAGATACAAAATAATTTACTTTTTTCATAAACTATTAGCTCTTTCCACAATAATGTCCAAAATCTGATAGACAAAATCAAATTTTCATCATACTAAAATACCTAAATAATGACACTATGAGTTTCTACTGATTTTAATCAGGACTATGTTATCATGATACAAGTCAACTAACTTCATTACTAACAGGACCTTCCTAAAAATGAAGGTGTCTATGGAGACATAGAATGCTTTACAAGTTTAAGACAGACAATGTTGCAGAATGTCATGATATTTATAAGATAAATTCTTTAACTGAAAGAAATTGGTGAAAAAGGTATTGAAGATTTAGAAAGGGAAATTTCAGCTTGTCTGGGTTAGTCCTGTTATGATGGAAAAAGAAGCTTCAGGAAAAAGAAAAAAATTCAAGCTATTCAATAGTTCAATATCACCTGTAATAATTTGGAAAAGTGCCGAAAAAGGGAAAAACAGGTTGCCAGTGATTTGACAGAAACTGACCAGAAAACAATTGTGGACATTTTTACTTCTGGGTACTTTTGTGAATGTATTTCATCACTGTTGGGGAGCGATGAAAAATTAATACTTTTACAAGGAAATGTGATGTACAGTAAAGGTGAACAACTTAAAGCACAATTCAAAATGGATGTCCATTTATGGAAAGCTTGGTATTTAATGGGATTGACTCAAATTACTGGAGATATCCATTGTCAACAGTTTAAACACTGTTTTGAAGGAAAATAGGCACAATTTGATCAGTCACAAACTTGTGGCATTCTATCTTAATGCATTTCCCCAGATATTAAAGATCACATCTGAAAATATTCCTCATCTTGTTATTCTTCAGGGTTTGTTCCACCTGATTATCACCTATTCTGATCTTGGAAAAACTATTTTGATGAACTTCTTAAAAGACATAAAAATATGAAAACTAGCCTATTGGCATTATTTGACACCAAGTCAAATGACTTTTCCAAAAATAGTATTATAAAGCTTGTCAATCAATGGAAGGAGGGGATTGATAATGATGGAACCAATATTAATGAAGAAATTTTAATTAAACAAATTTTTTATGCTTTTGTCTTCTGATCGTAAATTCAAACATGACAGCTTCTCTACATCTGGTCTTGTGCTTCTGCTATATATTTAAAGATTCTTGATAAAATACAAATAATCTGCAATGCTATTGGTTCTGACCTGGCATCTCAACTTCAGTCACTTTCACAGCACCATAATGTAGCCTTTTCTGTAACTATTTTCATGGTAATTTTTCTGGTGAACTTTCTTCTATGGCACCTAGATTTTATGAATTAAGTACAGAACTAAATTGGCAGCAATGTCTTATCATTTTACAGTTGAAATGGATAGACGTAACTAAGTCCCATGCTAACAATTTCTTCTATCACACTTCTTGCTTGTGAAACTCTTCTGGCTTCTTGCTTTCCAGTCAACTTTGATTTTCAAAAATTTAAATACAATGTCAATCATTATCTTCTGTCTTCCTATTCTTTTATTGTTCTCTCTCCTTAATAGTGTTTTTTTCTGATATTCTTTAACACACCCCCTGCATTTTAGTGACTTTATTGCCTTGCTTGGAGTGAAATGATTTAACAAAAAAAACAAAAAAAACAAACAACAAAACAAAAAAAAACCTATAACTTTGTGGAACAGACTACCAAGAAGATGCTTCTCTGACAACTACAATCTTAAACTTTTCAAGACTGGTGTTAGTACTTTATGTATCCTCCTAAGCACTGCTTACCTCCTCTATGCCATTACAACAACCTAATTCAGTAAAGCTCTATCTTGAGTAGCTCTTGGGCCTTATATTTGATGAACAATAGTACAAAAAAAAAAAAAAAAAAAAAAAACTTCCATAGGGGTAACCTGATACATATACTTATTGATATTGCTTCTTACTAACAACCAGTAAAAATACCTAATTTACATTGTAATGTAGATTTAATAAAAGTCTAGCTTGTGTCTGTAATTATAAAATCATCCAAGATAAATAATGCTCTAAAGTTTCAAAAAACATTCAGGCAAGTTTAACTTATGTTCACTTTGATAGAGAAAAAAAAGGAAATTCTTTTTGAAGCAAGACAAAAATTATTCCGCCTCCTCTAAGATATATAGTACAAGTAACCCCTCTATTTCCCCTGCAAAAAATAAAGTACACATGGTGAGAACAATTTGAAGAAATATATAGTATTTAAGGTACCTTGCAATGAAGGTAATGTTTAATAAGCTAAACAAAGATAATTATTAATTTGGGATGAATTTGATTCTTACTAGGTGCCCTATGCTACTGTAGCCTTATGCGAGACTATGTTAAATTTAGTAAAATATATATATAATGTATCATTTAAACAGAAAACAAAATGTATATACTCCTAATTATAAAATCCTTAAATTAAGAAAATAAAGAGTAGTCGTTAACGATCACAGTGAGGAGAAATTCTGTTTTGGAACAGTGTGTGTGTGTGTGTGTGTTTGTGAGAAATTTTTTTTTTTTTTTTATAAATTAAAAAAAAAAAACAAAAAAAACAAAAAAAAAAAAAAACTATTTATTAGGGTGTATCAAAAAATTTTTCCCCACAGCTTACTCCAGGTGCATATCTGATGATTATCTCCAACTCCAGAAAATTTTTAATTTTATATCATATC